TGTGTTTAACCTGAAGAAAGAGCGCAAGGGGATTTGCTGAGCCAGACTTTCACATGAATAGGTGGCTGAAATTAGATGGAAGATAAGGCAGTGAAGTCTACAACAGAATCAATGCATTGATTCTTATTGCTGCAGCACGATTTGGGAATTATGTTTACTCTGTTGATGCATTAGAAGAAACATGAATGCAAATATATAAATGTACATGATATATGTCAATGTCTTACTTAAATGATACTAAAAAGTTGAATTTTTTTTTTAACGTACAGTGTTCAGCCTATAATTAGTTTCTTAATTTACAAAATTCTGTAATTGCATCATCTCACCATTAAAATCACAGAAGTATGGGAGTGATAAAACTGGCATTCAGATAGGTAACTGTAATCAAGACTGATTGCAAATACCAGAAAGTCTCACTTTATTTACCCACAAACTTATCACTGACTATTAATATTGCAAAAATGCTGATTTTCCATTATTGTATTTTTCTGTTTTTTTTATTGGTCTAAGTGCTGCTCTTGGTGCATGTGAAGCTTGAGGCAGCTGTGTAGTGCCTGGGAATTGCTAATAAGATGGCTGTTACAGAGTATATAAATAGGTATAAACCGTCTAATAGATTTGCCCAGCTCTTTATATTAGTTACAGTAAATTTTGAGCTCATGATTGATAATTTTTGTTCATGAGCTTTGTTTTGTAGACACGTTAACCTTCAGCTTACTGGGATATTGCACTATTGATTTTCACAGATTGCTGTCTTTTCAACAAGTCATTTTAACCACAAATCTTTGTTTAATGATTCACTGGCATCTGTCGCTTTAGTGCAGCATACGCAGCGGAAATAAAGGGATTTTTGTTTTGTTTTTTAAGCTAAAGTCAAAAAGTACTGTTTGTTATCACAAGATCTGTTATTCATTTTTTTTTTTTTTTTTTTTTTGTATGCTGATTAAGGTTTAAAATTGAAAAGGTTTGGCAGCTTGTTATGTGTATGATACAATGAGAAGTTGTCTCAACACAGTGAAAATATTATAAAACATTGTGATGCTACATCCAAGATCCTGTTATTGATATCACAAGATCTGTTATGAATTTACAAGAAAGGAAAATTATTGTATACAAAAAAAAAATAATAATAAAAAAAATAAAATTGAGGTGTATTACTGATGGCATATATATAAAATATATATGAAATAGGATGTAGGTATGATGGTTCTTGTATGACAGAATTTTGTGTGGGAATTATACCGGCACATACCACTTATGCTCTTTTTAAATCCTCAGACGAGACAGTATATTCGTTCGTACACTAAACTGGAGTGACAGGAACATAATATCTTCCTGACGTGGCTGGTAGTGGCAACACGGCTATTCCAATGATAACCTAATCTGCAACGTTTCATTGTTTCCTTAATCAGATCATTAAATATTTAATTAAGCTGGGGGTGCTGGCTGTGTGCATATAACCTTTAGGATGGCGTATGTGGCACACATGAGATAGTGTTTGTTGTAAGGCTAATGGGTTTGCTCAATATTCTCAACCTTATCCCATGCAGGTGAGTTTTAAATTCTTTCTGCGGGAGATGTTTTTAATAATGGAGGCTGGTTAGTTGTTTGTAATGGTTAACTTACAAACAGGATACAGTAATGTAGCATCACACAGGGAAAGGAAATATGTGGAGGAATAATGGACTTCCTGCAATCACGCATGGGTTAAATGTGGAAGTCTGTAGAACAGGGAGCCTGAAACAAAATTGATATGTGAAGTAAGGTGATTTATGATCATTTATCATAGGTTTTTTGCTTTAAAGACCCAGTCCCAGATCTAAAAATTTTAATGTGTTTAATGTGATGCATAATGATGTTGTGATAAGATAAAAGATAATAGCCTAAAGATATGTATTAAGCATGCATTTTTTGCCCGGTTTTAAGCCTTTGAAAACCAATTAAACAAGATGCAAAAGTGGCCGAGCTCCCTCTGCTGCCAGACTGGAATTTATCAATAAATGAGGCTTGGGTTGAATTGTAGAAAAATCAATAGGAAAAGGCCCTTTGTGTTGCAAGTCAACAGATTGTATAGATGTGCTTAGAGTATATTTATACACCTCGGAAGACTGCATTTACAGTCGTTTTATTGTGTAAAATGATTGGATCTGAATGGCACAATAGGGCTGGAAATAATTTCAATATTCTTCTTCACCTTGTTGTGTTCCCCGGAGCTACTTACATATAGTCCTTACTAAACATTAGGGGGACCGGTCCTATCAATTATCTTTCAGTGTATATCCACAGTATACACAATGTGTTTCTGATTGTACCATATAATTGGTTGATTGAGTATGTGATAGGTGGTTGTACTGTGTTCCTGACTGTGTAGCCAATGAGAGTGTAGGATCTGTGACCAGAGGCTGACAAGCTGATTATCAAATGTGATTGACAAGGCATTGTGAGCTGCATGCTGCACACACACACACACCACTAACAGACTTTGGAATACAGGAGAGAAATGCCAGAATGGTGAACAATGAGAAAAAATAAGGTCAAGAATTTTAGATAATCTTCCTAAAGGTTTTGTAGCAGGTAAGACAAAGAGATCTTTACCCAGTTAATGACGTGCACACTTTTTAAAGCTTAGTGGGAATAAGTTGTGTTTATTTAACAAGCCTAGTGTTAGGATCCATCAGAAGTACAGTGTGTGAAATGTCAAGAGGCGATATCACTTACCTACAAAAAGCATCAGGTTGCTTTTCACATATATGAATGCAACACTTGTTCTTAAGAAATTGAAATGGAAACAGTAGAGGGATATGAATGGTTTGGGGCATTTGAATCTTATGATATGATGCTAAGAATAGTTCAGGTCTTAGAAATGATAAAAGTCTCATGCTAGGCACCTTAATGTACACATTTCATATGGTCGATTTTATGCTCGGGATATTCTCCAAAGTCAGGCCTATTACTCACAAAAATTGATTCATGGGTTCATTTGTGTAAAAGACTCAAAATATTCCAAAGTAGCTAAAGGCAGCACACAGTGAGGCATTCTGTTGTGCAGTGGGAAAGAGGCACAGGGTCAAGCATGAAATGCTTCGCACACAAACCAGCTGGAGGATGAATTACTGCCTTCCTGAGGAGTGATAACAGTTGTTAAGAATTCCAATCTATATAGCCCCAAATCTCAGGCTTAAAAAAAGAAGTGCTGTAATTTTAGACTTCTCTCTCTCAAACCGTTGTTGGGATATGGCATTTAGAAAGAAACTGAGTTTAAGTGTATTTACACAGGGAAGCAAATCAATGGTTTCTGTTTTATTGCTGTGCAGGGGCTAAGCGCTGTCTAGATGCAGTGTGAGGTAGATCTCTGGGGAAGGAACTGATGGAAGTTATTAAAAAGAACCATTTCTTAAGGAGGGAAGACTTGAAAGGGAGAAGTGATATCCTCTCACATGAGTCAGTTTGCCTTGTGGGAGCCAAATTACATTACACTAATATATAACGTTACAGGTCAGTGAAGTACACTTAGATGTTATTGAATGCCAAAAAAGCTTGCACATTTGTTTTTATTTGCAGCATTAGTTACTAAGTATACATACTCTATGTGGTTTACGGTTTGTTTAATTTAACCATTTCGACAGTCCATCATATTCTGGCTACATGAAAATGTAGGTTTCCTGTTATGACTCAGTTCAACTGGACAGGGCACACAAAGGCTTATCATGGATGTTTGGATTAGATGGCTGGTGATAGAAACTTTTGATAAGCGCCACATTCAGCTGGGCCGCCACCACCACACCTTTCAGTACAGTTATACTTGGCTAAGATTACCAGTTAAAAGCTTAGATGCTGCAACAACTGTCTCAGGTGAATATAGTAGTCACATGAAGCACAGGGCCCAAGACTGAAGAGAAGGAACCTTTGTAAGGTGTCACATATCAGGTGCTGAAGTGATTTTTGTCCATCATATAAAGCTTTTCTAAGGGCTATATTAGACATTGCTTAAAGAGTTGATAGGTGTTCAGATTTTCCTGTTTTTCTTAAACTAGTTTTTAGAGATGTTTGCCATCAATATGTTATTGAGTTCCAAAACAAGCATTCTGTAGACAAGTTTCAAAAACATGTTTTTCTTTTCTTTGCTTTACAGAAAAGTGAATTGTGCACCCCTTACAGTATGTAAAAAAATTAGGGTTACTTACTGCCTTTTTTACCCCTTAAATATACAGCTTGTCAAAGGTAATGCACAGTTAATTGCCAATTGCCAATGAAGAAAAAAAAATAGGGAAAATTAGCTGGATCAAGTCTAAGTCCACAGTTTTAAATGAAAGCTTGAAATGTATTTCACAATACACCATGTGCATCTAAACCTATTTGGATCTCTCCTAAAATCAATTGTGCCTTGTCCCATGCCAAATCAATCATGAATACTTGAAAAAGTATCCTGCTAACAGATGGACAGCCAGACAAATTAAACTCAAGTAATCATATAAGGACTGCCAATTGGCTATTGACCATTAAAAGCTATTTACATTTAATACTTTTTCAGCATTTGTCTCAAATTACATGTTCTTTTAACAACACCAGTTATTTAAATGCCTGAGAGAACTAAACATCATTTTCCTTTGTTTGAAAGTTATAGAAACCCAAGGCAGAGATGCTACTCTCAGTTGATGGGCTTGAAAATATCATTAATTCTGTGTGACACACAATCATGAGCAGAATAATATTCTAGTGCCTATTGATTCTGTTGCTACAGTGACACATACAGTTTCAGTGAAGTCTTGATTGAAATGGATGCAGAGTGACTAGAAGCTTCAAGTAATATGGAAGTTCAATTATCTATACTTTGGACTGTATGAGATGTAAATTATGCTGTTGAATTCTAGATGCATTTGTTATTAGATATTGTTTTAATATATATATTTATATATTAAAATAATGATTAAACCTTTTTTTGCAACCTATGAAAATGATTATTTGGAAAAACAACATGTTTGTATGGTAACCTAGGTTTGTTTAGTTTTGAGTTGCCTGACTTTAAGTTTATATCAACTGGTGCACTAGTCTCAACGGTAAAGTTAAAACAGTGTTTAAATATAGCTGCATTCCCAGTTGCTAGAGTCCAGACCATTACCATTTGGCTCTATACAAATTCAACAAGTGAAAGGCTGGGCCAAAGGGCTATAATTTGTGTCTTCTGTCAGGGTAGTGGAGAATGTAATTATACTATGACCTGTCTGCTAAACCAGGTGAGCAAGCAGGAAAACACCTTGAGCATATTATCTTACAAGGCAGCTCAGGTACTTCATGTTGTGCCCTACTCACACACACACTGTATTCATCTGCATGCTATTATGAATTGCAGTTTAACAAAGGGTTAATAGAAAAGAAAATACCTGCATGGGAAGGCGTTTCAATGTATGTTTTGTTTCATTTAAGAGGTCCTGGTAGTTAAAGCCAGTGAAAAAAGAACGAAATCAGAAAGCCCTCATGTGAATGGAAATGGAATTTGCTAAGTGATGAATACATTATAAAATTTGAGGTTAAGTTCTGTTTGATGTGCTGCCGTCATTGTTTGGGACTGATTCTGTACTCGTGTGCTGTAGTCATTGTTAAATACTGGTTCTGTACTCGGGGTCAGTGTGTGATTTATTGGGGTGGTAAGCCAGATTAATTATGTAACTAAAAATGCTGTCAAGCTTTGCACATCTAATCAGGTGTCATTTTTCTCCTGGTTGCAATCACTAAAATATATCTAGGCTCATGTATACATAGATATGGATTCGTTGTGAACAATATGAAAAAAATATGAGGTAAATTATCAATCTTCTGCTCGGGGAAGTTAAAAGCGGTAGGTTTATCAGTAGAGGTGATGTATTAGGGCAGCCTAGTGTATTACATAGAATGTAACCTGCACACCTGAGGGTGATGGTCACATGAATTATGCAACGTCAGGGCCTCATGAACTTTCAGCCAAAGGGAAACCTGATCTGATGGAGCTCACTTGAATTTACTCACTGAGGAAAGAGGATATTTAGTGTAAAAGTGTATGGCAACCTTTGGTTGTTTGTGCAAATGGATAAATCACTAAGAAATGCAAGTGAGGTTAAATGTTATGCTTATAAATTGCTGAAATTAAACTCCCCATTTTGTAATCATGAAGGTGGCTAGTATAAGGTATGAGTAAGTAGACTGCTGGCGGCTTGGTTCAGTAAGATAGATGGCATTCCTTTGTCAGTGAATGGAGCCTTTGTTAATTGGTATTTGATATTTATATTAAGCGGGCTTAGCCGCTCTATAGCTGTACAAGTTGGTAGATTTATTGTATGTCATGTTGTGAATAACAGGAATACCACGAGGAAACAAAGGAAACATGTCATGATTAAGGGCTTTTGTGCAGTTATGACAGTTCTTTATGTTATCATTACAGGTCTGAGGCAGTTTCGGAAGGTGTAAGATTCTCATAGAAAGGGAAACCAATGAAAGAGAAGCCTGGAGAGAGCCCAAGTGGCTTGACCCCCAAGTCTTCAGGACGGGAGACGAGGAGCAGCTACAGCCCGGTTTCCAGTTCAGGAAGGAATGCCTCTCTAGACTATGACGAGGATGATTGGGAGTTCGGCGTTGGAAATCTCGTAATTGATTTAGATGCTGATACTAATGAGAATAAGAATACATCCAGCATCAGATCACCTCAAAAATCCCCCAGGATGAGCAGCATTGAGCACCAGTCTACCATTGATAAAGGATTAAAAATGAAAATTAAACGGAAAAATGTGGGCTCTAAGCTCAGTGAAAGCAAACATGAAATAGCTGAAAACCCAAAAGCAACTGCTATTGCTTCTTCTACTACTACCAGTTCTTTACAAAGCAGTGGGTCTGGAGATCCTTTTATTGTCCCAACTTCCATTCCGTTTGGTACAGAGAGGGGGAAAATGAGTCCTCAGGATAAAAATAACAAGGGCAGAGGCAGTATCAAGAAGGAAAAATCAAAGGATATAAAAACAAAAGCTGCTGCCTCTGCCACTGAACCAAACAACTTGAATGGCAATCCATTCTTGCCAGCAGGTTCAACTGGATGTAGTACCTCTGACTCTGCAACTCATAATTCAACTTCTGAAACTCATATGTCTGTTTTTAATGTGAAGAGAGAAATGGTTCATGACCCATATGAATTCAATGCTAAAGTGGAAGACGGTATAGAGGATTTTGGATTACCCACTAAGAAGATCAAAATCGAAAAGGTAATGCAGTTTACTGGGATTTCCTGATAAAAGTCGCTCATCCAGATGTTCTGTTATTGAAAATTTGATAGGTGTTCACACATGCCTTTTAAGTTTTTCCCAGCCTATGGGCTATTCTGAAGGTCAAACAGGCTGAGGTTAAAATTTAAGGTAGAATGTAGCACTGATGGAGGTCACATTTTTTGTTTGTCTTTCTCAAACATTTCCGGTTTTGTAAAACAGTAAGTGGTCAATCTGAGTTGAAGTTTTTATCTCATTTGCGATGCCTGGCTCAGTTTGGTAACAGAGTGAAATTTAGCAAAAGTTCACACAATTTGATGCAAATGAAGTATAAAATCTTGTTTTCAAAATTCACATGGTAATTGTTTATCACTAAAATTGAATAGACAAAAGTTATGAAAATTTAATGAAATATTGATGTGCACACAAGGAGGAACAAGAAAGCATGTTCATAAACATTATTTACATGCAAGCTGCTGTGCAAGTAGTATTTTGAACACATGCAAGCTGGCTTGGTTATCTTAGTTTTCATCTAAATTGTCAGTTGTGTAGCTAAATGACTACAACCAATTACTTATATGGCTCTAGTAGGAATACCCAAAAGCATCCAAACTGAATGTGGTATTAACATGTATGTGTTTCCCTCGCAGTAACAAAGCAGGTGCTCTATATGCCATTGAGATACCTGGCCAAAATTACCTGTGGTTCACGTTGGGCCCAGTTTCAAAACATTTTGAGGCGTGAACTAAGGGCAAGAATGTAAGGAAAAAAGTTTGGATTTATTTAATTAGCAAGGTCATCTTGAGATGATCTGACTTTTTCATAGATGTAGCCCTTGTGCTAATAGTGGTATTTGCCAACATTTATCTAAAAGGTTAGAAAAGAGCAAGCACAAAAATCTAGACACGTAACAGCATAAGTAGGTTAAATTGATCTGTTGACTTAAAACTGAGATTAAATCAAATTATTGAAAGCATTCATTGTTGCTGCAGATTGGCATAACTTGGTGGGGATAATTTTAGACCTACATAAATACTATCAGTATATTTTGATATTAAAGAAAGGTAGAAATAATTTTTTTTTTATTTTGATACCTTACAACATGCATGAAGCGAATACAAGAGTAAGTAGCATCAAATTGATTGTAAGAGATGTTAAAATATTTCACAATTGTAACCCTGAGTGAATTCCAGTTAACTCTTGAAAATAAATTGTAAAAGGATATATATATACTCAATCAAGATGATTTGAGTTGACACTAAGGCTTCCTATGTCATGGAATACCAATGTGGTTTTTGTGAACACATCATCACGATATACATGGATAATGAGAGTCACTTCACGTGATTGGTACCACAGGAAGAACAGTTTTAACATGGTATCAAGTGGCTTAAATCCTGTTTCATAAAAGAATCCAATTCAGATATTGGTCTTAACAAAAAGAATTTTTAAAAAAGAAATAATCTGCTTTGTAGTAGTCCTCCAGTATGAGGGTATAATTGGGTCTCCATCTATTCCACAAATATAAAAAAAAATGACAGGTGTTTTAGATTGACAGTTACCATATTCTACGGAACTGCTGCTGATTTATCCTTTGTTCAAAGTACGCTGACATTTTTGGTGTTCAAGTTGACACCTACTTGAGGGGTTTCTTTGTGAAAAGGGTCCATGCTCAGTGATTTGTGGGAAGGCTAACCTAGTGTGTGTGCTTGGGATTGGAGGAAGGGAGATAAATCAAAAATTCATTCTGAAAGTCCTGTCTTTGTTAATTGTTGCTTGAGGGTCAATGGTAAATGTGTTGAGTAATGAAGCAATGGCTTTTGAAAGCTGTTTTAGGAATGAACACTAATGTATTTCTGTGGGTCATTGTATCATCAATAAAAAATGATTTAAAAGTATAATTTGCCTACCACTTACTAAAGGACAGGTGGTTTTAATATCTCTCAACCCCAGTTGATTGTACAGTGTTAATATTTTACTCATTAATTAATCAGTTTGAATGATAAAAAATGCATATTTTTGGAAAAGGACATATGAAAATAAACTAGTAGAAAAATAGATGAATGATGGGGAATAAAGGGAAAGTTGTTCTTCTGCTCATAATTAGCGACAGATGGTTTGATAAATGACTAAGTCACTTATACAACTTGGATATAACTCTCTTGGGTTAAATAATGAATGATTTAAATAATTTTTTTGTAAGACAGAATATAAAGTTTTATATAATATATTTAATGTTTTTTCCCATCCCCCAGCCTGAGGGAGCATCTTGCCACAGCCTGAGCCAGCAGTCCAGTAGTCATGGTCAGCAGAGGCGGGAGGTTGGGACGGAGACCTTCAGTGTGGGCATCTCTACTGAACCTGAGTGCCTGGGCCCCTGTGAACCAGGCACCACTGTCAACTTGGAAGGCATTGTGTGGCAGGAGACAGAGAATGGTAAATGTTGTCTTGATAGGGTGAAAGTTCCCATGGTGCTGTAGCTCATACTTTTCACGGCCAATTGAAAATGTTCTAACAAAATGGAAATGATACTTTTGTTTAATTTGAATTATTGATGGGACAGTAATGTGGTGGGAGAACATTCTTCGCAATGCATGAATTATAATGTACTTAAATCATTATCAAAGGTGGGGACTTCATAAAGGTAGCATTCTGTAATTATTGATATGCTCAGCACATACGGTAAATACAGACAATAAAATAGATTGACAAACGTTTATTAAAGGTGGGGACATAAAACCACCAAAGAGATATAAAACTGCCTATCTGATCAAAGTTAAGTATTGGGCATCAGGTAGTTTGTGTTTTAGTGTACTTTATTAATGCCCTTGCATTTTAATTATTTAAAAACTTGAGAGCCATCAGCATTGCAGCTATGAAGAATACTAGAAACATTGATTTCTTTGTTTCATTGTTTAGATAGGCTATAAATTAACTTGTTAACAATGTGAATAGGTATATATGAATCAATATCCAAGGAGATAAATTGAGTTTGATAGAAAAAGGACACATACTCAGCATGGTGTGCAAATTCAGAAATCTGCTAAACATGCATGCACTTTACTGTATTACAGCTTTGTAAAAAGGTCAAATTAAATATTCATAGTTATTTTTGTTTCCCACACGTTGGAATAGTTTGAAAGGCATGATCGTGACCAAGTTTTAAAATGGATCAGATCTGATAAATGTGTGTGAGTGTGTGGTTTAAAATTTATTTTTCAGTGTTCAGTCAGACCATTTGATATACTTGAGAGCTATGCTAAGTATGTGGTGTTCTTCCAGGTATGCTGGTTATAAATGTTACCTGGCGTGGAAAGACCTATGTAGGCACACTGCTTGATGCTACCAAACATGACTGGGCACCTCCCAGGTACAGTATATCTTTGTATATATACACTTTCTACCCATTAGGATGAAATAAGTGGCTTTTTCCCTATTTTTTGTCGGTTTTGCACTTTGCTGATAAGATACAGTAACATAAAAGATATGTTGCAGCAGCTCAAAATAGGTGCAGTTTGATTTATGAAAAGGTTAAGTTTAGTAAGTTCTGTAAAATTGTCTTATGTAGCAAGTTGTAAGAATAGATCATCTGGCAAACGGTTTTATTATGATTTGTGTATTTTGCACGTTCTAGGTTGGGCTGTGACTCTCCGGTGAGTGATGTTGAAGTGAGGACACCAAAGGGGCGTGGCAAGCGTGGCAGAACAGCATCCTCCACTCCACTCAATGATAGCGGAAGTGACAGAAAGCTCCGCAAGGGCCGACGTGGGACTAACACCAGTAATAGCGGTTTCCAGGCCCCTCCTAGCCCAGCCAAGTCGGACATCACTCCCCTCGGCACAGGCAAGAGGAAGGGACGACCAGCAGACTTGACTTTGGGAAGTTTAGATGATCTCAGAGTAAGCAAACGGAGCCGCTCTGGCTCCCGCTCACAAGAAGTGCCATCATCGCCTGTGTTGATAGTGTGCCCCGAACCGAACTGCAACAAGAAATACAAACACATTAATGGATTACGTTACCATCAGACACATGCTCATCAAACAACTGCTGCAAATATAAATGCCTCTAATGGAAGCAGCAGCAATGGCAACAGCAACAGCGCTGTTATTAATGAGACGCAGAAAGATGTAAAAGAGAAAAGAAAGGAAGATAAGGAAGCCAACCCCAAGGATGAGGCTTGCAGCAGGGACAAAGCAAAAGACAGTAACAACCCCCCAGCAACTAAACCAGCAAGGAAGAAAGGTTTGAAAGATTCAGATATGTCAGACAGAGATACTCCTTCTGTGGAAGGTAAAGGAATTAAGAGCAGCAGTAGTCAGAAGGATATTATGAAGACAGAGACTGCTGCAGCTGAGTCAGTAGAGACTGTTATAGAAAGGAGTAAATCTAACTCCTCTCCTTCAGCAATAGTAACACCAACTACCACAGTGACTGCTAAAACTGTAACAAAGGATATAGTAGCAGTGACTTCATCTTCTCAGTCGTGTATAGGTAACCCATTGCAGTGTTTAGGTAATATGCCTCTAGGGCCTCTAGAAAGAACAGTGGCTGCAGTGCCCAAGCAGAAATCAGGTGTGGTGACAGCTCAAACCAAAACTACTGTTGTGATGACAGTCCCCATCCCAGCAACAATTGTCTCAAAAGCTCATATGCAAGTGGTCAGCTCCACACAGAGTACTGTAGACAGTTTAACAAAAGACTCAGAAAGTGATAAATTAGTGAAAAAACCAAAGGACTCTGTGAAAGTTGGAGACAGGATAAAGACAAAGTCTTCTGGTAGGCCCATTGTTCCAGCACACCATCCGCCGTCTCAGCAGGTTATTGCTCTGTCAACTAATGTGGCTGTGACCCATTCTAACCTTTCTCCAGTGACGACTGCCACGCCTCACACTGCCCTCACACAGATTGGATCAGCTCTCAAACCCATCCAGCCCAAGCCAACAATCATGGGAGAGCCCACCAGTATCAACCCAGTGCTGGCAAGTTTGAAAGAGAAAAAGATGAAGCACAAGAAAAAAGTCAAGGAAAAGGAGAAAGACTCCAGCCAAAGTGTGATCAAAGATGTTCCCAAAGACAAACTTCCCAAAGAGGGTGATGGTAAAGGAGATGTTTCAGAGGAAAATAAATTGCCCGTCAATTCTTCTCAGAAGTCAAAGGAACAAGGTGAGAAAAAAGTCCCTGTTGCTGAGACTGAGAAGTCTCTACCTATTGTTGGTGACAGTGCAAGCAATGAGAAAGAGAGAACAGTTCAACCACCATCAGAACTCAATCTCTCCACCTCCTCTCCTCTCACTGTGAACACTGATAGTCGAGACCCTACAGGCAGTAACTGCCAAAGTCCAGCCTATTCAGATATATCTGATGCAAATGACACTGCTCCAACCTTGGAGAATGAAAAAGTGAAGGAAGACAGTAAGGTTGATGGAAGTGCTGACAGCCCCAGTGACGCAGTGACTGTTCAGAGTCAGGGGGCAGTGCACCCCTACAGTATGTACCCTTATTATGGACAGTCTGCTTATATGCTCCCCACCCTCTCTCCCCAGCCTACAGGGGGCAGCACCCTAGAGGGCAAAAGCACTCCAGGAGACCAGGACAGTAAGCCAGTGACAAAAACTGCTGATGATAAAGACAGACTCAAAAGAAAGGGAGAAAGTAAAGAGGAGAGGAAAACTGATTTGAATCCTGAAGAGAGCCAGAAACTGAAGGATTATCAGCAAAGACAAATGTATCAGCAACAGCTTTACTATGCAAACCTTCCACCGCAGATACAGTATCAGTACATGGCATATGGCTATGCTGACCCCAGCTTACACATGCATCTGCTCGCTACAGATCCTAACTACAAAGCATACCACGAACAAGTGATGGCTGAACAAGAGAGGATGAAAAAAGAACAATTAGCTTCAGAAATACAGCCAAAAGAACTTGGTAAAGATGAAGCCAGTGTTCAGTCTGGTCCAAGACCAGAAAGATCTGATAAGGAAAGGCATGTAGAAAGCAGGGACAGGGCTACTTCAGAGCGTGAGAGGGACAGAATTACTTCAGAACGCAGACATTCATCTTCAAAACATAAAACAGACTCTTCTCAAAAAACAGTGCTGAATGACCAGCAGCCTGTGTCAAAAGATAAAAACGATGTTAAGAGTTTAGGTGACCCTGCTAGGTGTCATAAAATGGGAGAGGATCAGGAAAGGAGAGATTCTCGGTATTCTGCTGAGGGTCACAGGGACAAGCATTTTTCAACACAGCATCAACAGGGAGATCACAAGCATTATGATGAAGACAAATTAAGACTTTCCGATAAGGGGAAATCTGATAAGAGACCCCCAGAGGCAGCATTAGGGAAAGCTCCACAGGAGAACTCCTCAAAAGAGAGTTCTTCACCAAAGGACAAAACTAAAGAAGTCGTACCACATAAAGAGCCCAGGGTAACTGAATCTATGGGTTCAAAGAAAATAGGCGAAAAAAGTAAAACTGGAACAGAAATAAGGGAAAGTCCTGGGGCGAAAAGTAAACAGGGTGACAGTGTGACCTCTGTGTCCACTACTGGTCCCTCCTCATCCCCTGGACCAGTCTCGTATGGACATTACTTCTCTCCCTATGCTCCTGCACCTTATGGACAGATAGCCTATGATCCCAGTCACCACTATAGGGTACAGGGGGTGTACCCTGCAGCCTCACCAGCATACCTGTACCCTAACCAGATGAGGTATGTATCCACTGTGGATGGTGCTAATAAAGAAAAGAAGGAATTGAGCTCACCCAGTACCCCTGCTGTTACACAGGGGAAAACTGTCAGCAATTCTGAGAGCAACTCTGGCCATTATTACTCTCCCCACCATAAAATACATGAGTTGAAAGAAAAGGCCAAACCTTTGCCTCCTGGCTCTCCTCTTGAGAAAACGAAAGAAGCCGGCAAGCGGTCTGAAACCTCATCCCCAAGTTCAAGCTCAGAGAAAAGATTGGGGGACCGGGAGTACACCAAGTCTCCCCCTGCTCAGAGGCACCTCCACACACATCATCACACCCATGTGGTCCAGGGAGCACCCTACCTTCTTGACCCTTATGGTGGTAAGTTGACTTGTATCTTATTTTAATGGTGCCAAGTGCTAATAATGTAAAGGTTTTTCTCAAAATTAGGGCGCATTTTTAGTAGTACAACTTACATTATTTTTAAGGTACTTGTAACTATAAACAGGTCAGTTAAGGTTTTAATATGAGCTTTATTAGGTTACTTTGCAACACTTGTTTAATTCTTTGTTATTATGGCTGAAAATGGATGTGCTGTTTTACTTTAACTTCATTGCTATCAATGTACAAGTATCTTTTCAATGTTCGAAAAAGTATTATTTATTTATTTATTTATTTATTTTTAGTAAGGGTGGCAGGTCCATACCACTTATCGAATTGATCTTTTACTACTTTTTACCCTAATGCGCAGAGGATTAGAGTTTGGTACAATGTATATATGTCACTGTCTAAGAATAAGAGGCTTTTTTCTCTCCAAATCAGATATTTGTGTGTGTGAAGCTGATAGGTATGGATCTTTTGGGAATCATTGCATGTTTGAAATTGATTCTCATGTCATATATGCAAACAAGCTTAAGTATAGCGTTTCATTTTGAAAGAGCCCAGGTCACAGAATTTCTAGCAAGCTGTTTGCAAAAACATCAGATCAATATTCAAGCCATTTATTGATTTGCTATTAAGATTATATCAAATGAAAAGCAAAAATACCATACATGAAACAAAATACATGTTATTATTGTTTGACATCTATATTAACTTCATCACTCTTATAACTCTTTGACATATATATGTATATATACTGTACCAAGTCGATCATTTCAACAAATATAATGAATATTTTATATATCATCTGCCATCTGAGTTTCTGATCCTTGAGTTTTATTGCTCTTTAACATGTATATTAAATTAATCATTTCAGCAGCTATAATGGCCACCCATCAGGCAGCAGCTGTTCATCCTTTTGTGCCCAAATGAGGAGGAATGTGTTAGAGAAGCTTACAGCACAGCTGGTGTCCTCTGTCACATTGTGCAGCAGCTGACATTCTGAACTGGCATCAGCAAGATACAGTCACCATCATGAAGAGTTGGTACAATCTTACTGTATAAGAAAATTATTTACATCAGTTGCTGTAAAGTTGGAAAGGTTCCTCTGGAGGAAAAATGTTCTTGGAAAGCCTGTATTTTTAGCTGCTCAGGTCCATTTCGTTGTATTATTAAAAATCTGTCAGCTTACATGCTATATTATACAATCAACCTACCTGCAAAAGGGATTTGCCCAACCTACCTGCAAAAGGGATTTGCCAGGCTTAATTAGAATGTTTACCCAGGATAAAGCTTGACAGTGGTGCATCTAAAATTGATTTGAAAAGTGGAATCTGTATTGGGTATATTTGCTCAACTGCTTTATGCTCAGTTCATTTTCATCAGTTAAATTAGTTTCTTGAACATTTTACTTGTTTGGCCATCTTGCTAGTCAGTGTGGATCATGACAGAGAATGAAGTTGAAAAAAAAAGTGGGTTCATGTACAGATCTCACTTTTTTTAAAAGAAAATTGTTTTCAGTAGATTGCCCCAAAGCACTGTTACCATCATGCAACTTATTCTCTAATTTTATATATATATCTAATGACAGTAACTAATTCTTATTACTAACTAACGTTACTGCTCAATATGGTATGTTTCTGAAAATATTGAAGGTATCTGATCATCGTCAGTCAATGCACTTGAACAACTCTTGGTACAGCTATAATTTGCAATTCTTCAGCATTATTCCATGAAAATGAGGGTTTTATAACTTCCCTTTCATAGCAATCATGTATTATATTAATCAGTCATTCATAAAAGAAAGAATACTGCATTTTATTCCTTCTCACTGTAAATATTCCCCAAATTTAGCACTAGCCTGTATTAAAGAGTTGTGATTGGTGATCAAAAGGATTATTTTGTGATCTATACTGAAAACTAAATTGCTGTTGCTTTCATACATGTTATTTAACATGGTAATAGTATGAAGTGACAGTAGTGGTCACACAGTGTTTTACAAGAAGCATTGGTTCATCTGTGTACTTATTTCATTCAGCAAAAATATCTATTCAGAGATCTCATTTAGTTAGCAATGCCAAAAGCAGTCTGTAAGAAATGGTATTTTATTTAAACAGATGGGAGAGTGCTGAGGATATAAAGTAACTACCCGCTTCTGATGGGCCTGTTGTCCACGTATCTCTTGACAACCCGAAAGAGGTCACTAGTGTTCACAATTTTTGCTTGTGAACAGCATTGTATTTTCCAATGGTAAACCCCTTTAAGCAGAAATTCATGTACACATTCTTATTTAAGCCCTTTAAGTATAGTTCATGCCACATTTGGAAGCTTTCCCCTGAAGGTTTATTCAGTCTTAGAACATGCCGTGTCTCTACATATACCAGCTTTGTCTATTTCATGGTTAATGCATTGACTAAACTATATATACATATATGTAGGTCAAAAGATCCTTGTGCATAAAAGTAAAAAATAATGCATTCTGTGCATATAAAATGGAATATGAACAGCGTTAGTGAATTTTAAATGACAAGTGATCAGATTTCTAAAAACTATTCACTCAAGAAATGAAATGTTTCTTTTATTCCATTTGTCAATTGTAATGTTTTTTTTTCTGATGATCACACAATACCCAGCAATTGAATAATTTTCTATTTGATTGTTAATAGGATTAAAATTTTTAAAACAATTCATTGTTTGTATTTAATACTCTCAGTTCCAGTACCTATCAACTTATTCATTCAAAGTATTATCCCAACGTATTTTACTCAATTTATGTTGGTATTTTTCAAAACCACACATTTCTTAAACCTGAAATATTAACATGGTACATTTACGAAGCATAATGAACATCAGTCGTACAACTCATTTCACTTTAGTAGCAGTATATTCACTAATGCCTGGACATTGCAACTAAGATCGGTCTGTTGCACAGTCTAGTTGCCGAATTGCGGTAGGAGAGATTGTGACATGCTTCTGTGTAAGTGCAGTGTTGCCGTCACCCAGAGCCTGTTTCTCAAAAGTGGTATGGGTGGTTGCTTTTCGCAAGCAATCTACAGGGTCCCTTAACTTTTTTTCGGTCTTTTAACTTAGACTTTTAAACGGGTTGTGTTTGTCTTGACAACGATTTTCCACTCTCAGCTGCGACAATAGCCCGCTTAGGTTCGTCAATATTTGCTGTCGACCAATCGCTCGTAAAATGCCGTTAGTCCAATATCGCAGTGTCGAGTTAACGTGGTAGGATATCCGATTTAAGGCGTCTAAGCCTTTAAGCCCAAAACTTTGTTTTTGTTTTTGTGAAACAGGCCCATATATAGTCGGCTGCTGAAACTTAGGAAAGATCGTGCAAATTTCATATGACCCAAATAATTTTTTCAAAATAATTGCAATGAAATGAATTTTTCATTTTTTTCTAAATAATCCTATCCATACTAAGCGAATCAACTCTCTGCATCAATTCATCAATTTTACTGACTTCCACTCTGTTCTCATATCCATATTTCTTTTCACTTAACGCTGTTCCATTTGCTATAAACTTGCTGCAAGTCTATTTCAGTTGTTTTACCGCATTTTCATCGGGATTTCTAGAAAATGGTCTACAAATCTGAACCCAAAGCGCGTTCTTCACACCTGGATTTTGACACTGTTTTGCGTTTAAAACCACAAACTTCGTAACCCCTGAACACGTTCATGCCTCATCCTGACCTTCTTTGGCGTTCCCAAAAGAACTCGCGTGGAAACTTTGCCGGAGAAACACTTCCCATCAATGCGCTCTTCTGTAAACTTTTGACCGCACCCTCCTCAACCTTTGATTTTCTTTTTTAAGTACTGTAATCGTGAAATTACACCTTTTAACGCGTGTTTTCTCCTGAGGGTGCGTAGCAGCTCCGCCGCCCCCTTCCCTCCTCAGATAATCAAGTGTCCAGCGATATGAAGAGATTCTTCTTGAGCCTGTTTGTCAACAGTGTCAACGTTCAATTTCACAGCAGTGGAAACTGACTTGTGTTTTTATGAGTCAGTCAGAGATAAAAGTAATGCATGTTGCATTTTGTGGAACACTAGTTTGGGTGGGCTTTTACCTTTGTCCTTTTGTTCCAAAACTGTACCTGGAGATGTCCAACCTTTTTCATTTTTCGCCGTTTCGCAACAAAGCAAGATTCGGATCTTCGTGACTCAGTCAGATATGGAGATTATTTTTGTTGCCTTTCGTAAGACACTAATTTGGTTTTGCTTTTTGTTCTTCTTATTCGCTTATTTGTTTTGACCAAAATACCTATCTGGAATTGCCCGACCATTTTATTTTTCTCTGTTTGGTAGCTGTGGATTATTTTGTTACAAACTTGACCAAGTTAAAAACCTGGTACAGCCAGGAGCTTAGTGTTCTGTTTCATTACTTCATAATATTTTGCTGAAACTTGAAATGGAAGTGTAAATACCGTACAAAAATTGAAGCAGAAATACAAAACCGTGATAAATAAATGAGGCAAATTATGATAAAATTAATGATACGTAATGCTGTAAAATACATTGCATATAGCATTGGTGCCTGTTCAGTTTTTACTCGGAATGCTCTCTTGTAATTGTCTGTACCATAGCACATAATTGCTTTAGGTGAAAATTTTGACACGAAAAACAACTGTTGCCTTCAACAACCAATTGAAAAAAAGATTGATATTAACAACTTTCTGTCTCCGTCCTGCATACCTCTGTCTACGCTGAATTCTACAAATTTGGCCCCGTGCCTGCCCAAAAGAATCTTCCAACAAGCACCTCAGTCTCACATGCTGGATACCCCAGGAACTAACTTGTTTGAGTAACTTGTCAGAATGATTTATTTCCTTCATTTGACTTTCGAGAAGCAATTACTTCTTTTTTTATTCTGGAACGTACCAGTGCATGTCTTTCGCAAAATAATAATAATAAAAAAAGAAATAAGTATATTAAACGTTTATATTTGTTCTCTCATTTTGTCTTTAATCAAATTCTAAAATGCTCATTTTGGACAGTATTCAAAAAGTTTTGATAGAAGCCTGTTATAGTTAGGTAGTAATTGACGTAATATTGCGTCTCTGCGCAGCAAAGTAACGCCTCCAGAACGTTGCGTGCGATGCACAGCGTTAGGAATAGCGGTGGGTGGAACGAAGTTCTTGATCCAAAGGTTAACTGGCCCTAAAAGTAAGGTTTAATAAACTATCGTGAGAAAGCATAATAATTGTGATGACCGTTGCAAAATTAGAAGTGATATATAATGTCTCCTTTTTCAGCTGCCGTGCATTGATTCAGCCAGTTTCAAAACAACTGATTCTGAAGTACGTTCAAGAATTAAATCTTCAATGTTGGTGATTAGTAGCAAAGGTATTAATCGTGATGGTATCTTTAGTATGGCGGCCATGGTGGTCAACAGCCCCCAAACCCTTAAGTTGCTATTACATATAATTTAGGTCGACCCTTCTCTGTGCGACCCTAGGCATCGATAAAGCCAACCGTTTTCCCCATTTCGGACTCAATGAATTTAAAAAAGAACGCAGAAAAACTATTTGCCTCCACAGTATTCATGACACCCATATCAGCGTTCACCACAACCGGCCTCCATCTCCTAACTGATTAAACGTGTTGCCATATGCATACGAAGACAAACTTAAATTTCACTTCTTCATATTCACATACTGAATACTTAATGTTATGTAATAAGGCATTCTGTGACTGATGTTACCACAAGACGTTATGAATGATAATGTATAGTGTGAGCGTACTTCTGTGAGGTTCTGACGTCGTGCTCGTGATTGTGCCGTTCTACATGTGTTAAATTTATCCTTAAAGAAAACACCATTATTTTTCAGTTATAGCTAAATCATTGCACAAACGCCGAAGTTTAAGCTAGTACCCTTAAATCACTAACCGCGGAACGCAATGGATTTGCTTAGGAGGTGACTGCCACAGAGATCCCCAAACGCTTCAATGAACTAACAGCATGTTATTTTAAGACAGAACAGGAATTGAAAAGGTGCACTGAAAGAATGCAAAACCACCTTTCTCGGACTGATGGTATCTCAGACTGCTCTGAACCATGTTTAAAAGGCAAAATTTGTCTAAAATTGATGTGAAAATCCCCTTCTGCAACAAATAAGAAAAGTTACAAAATCGGAGGTATTCTTATTTGTCTCACTGTGCTACATAACGCAAATTGTTTTGTTGACTAGCAATTTTTTTTAATTTTAAATGGATATCTGGTTCTTTAATTCAAAATTTTAATTTTTACAATATTTCAGAAGTAAGAAGGGATGCAATATCCTATTTTCATTTTCCGAATAGAAACATTTCTACACGCCAGGCACGGTCCTGCATGGCCCAAATTGTAAAAACATGTTCTGCAGACAGGGTATGTTGTCTTTTGCACTGAATTCTTAAATTCAATTTCTCTTCGTTCCCTTCTCAGCGGGTATGAACATTTGATTTGTTTGTCTCTGTCAGTCATGATAAGCTCAGAGTCTTCACAGCTTTCTATAAAATCAGGACAATTACACACTAACATGTCTGATTCTGACCTCTGTGCAGAATCCTTATAGAATTTTCGCCGTTTCAGTAAATAACCAAGGGATTGGTATTGAGCTGCTATATGTGAAATTCTTCCTGTTTATAATGGGTTCCAGTCCAACTCCGTGATTAAACCAATATTGGTGCACATCTGATCATTATAAAATATCATCCTAACAAAAGAACATATTGGAACCTCAAATGTATGGATTAATGTATTGCACTCATATATATTGATACTTGCAATCGTCTCTAATTTTTTCAGACACTGTAATGGAAGGTTTTCGTAAAAAAAAAAAAAGATCACCTCGAGTGCAATAAAGAAGAGGAGACTCCATCGTTCTGTGTTTTAATACTTCATCAATCACGGGAACTAAAGCCCATTATCTTACCTTACGACTACTTGTCGCCAGCATTTCCGTAATTTACTTTGTTTGACATCACTAAGGTGAGAAATGAGGTGTTTTTTCAAGAATTTTCTTCCAAAAATCCCCCGTGGCCAAACGTTGGTGACACTTATGCGAACCCCTGAAGGTTCCAGTCAAGGTACCATGATCATAAACTGACTTCCCCATAGGATTTACTCAAAACATGGACTATTGGCTCACCATCATCAAAATTGTCTTTGTTGAGTGTCACACTTGTCTAAAGAAATAACTGCAGGCCATAAGAAAATGTATGTTGGTATTTGAAGCTTGTGAAACATGTTAAATGTGAAATATTTGCGCCTCTTACAGATCCATCTAGGTTGGCTTTTTAAACCACATCAACACGGGGTTTAGGAAAATGTGGGAGGAAAAAGAGATGGTCTCTGAACTTTTCGATTCCAAGGCTTGGCTGGTCTCTGGTTTAAAAGAAAGCAAAGAGATTTATTAAAATATTACTTTGACATTCAAATAATCTAAAAAGAAAACTACGTAAACATTTTGCATCTGTCATTTATCCAACTCTTTGGTAAGAACTGAATCAGAAAACTGGAAGTAGATAAAAAAGTGAAATGAACAGAAAAAAAGTGGCGCTTGTGACTCCATGTTTGCCTCCTAGGATATCCTCGTTGATCTGTCCTTGTCAAGTTGAAAAGAAAACCACGTAAGGATCGGCTATCATTTTGGTTCCCCACACCAAAGGGTGAAGATTTTTGTCTCCACTATACCAAAATTTGAAAATGGACAAAGGTACAAGTTTGGAGACGGTGCTTTAAGTTGATGGCAAAGGTGAAGCTGAAGTCGGTTTTCAAGAGGAAAGTGTCTCAGACGCATTAAAACCCATTTTTATACAGTGTTTCCCCGCTAATACCCCCCCCCCCCCCCCCCGCTCTGCCTTAAAGTGACTTAAAACAATGATCATGTCTGATGACTAGAATGCCAACAGTGATGTCTATGCAGGTAACTGTAATTAACACCGCTGATGCCCGTAGGAAGTAGAAGCAACTGAATAAGATATTGAGAACAAATACGAGGAAGAAAATATATTGAATCACATGGTGAAAAAACTACAATAACAAGATTTTTAAATCTTATGCAAAAGAATCCAAGGGGTCTCACATTGTGATGGACTTAAAAAAACAATCATGTCATTTGAGTCCAGTCTTTGTATTGAGTATTCGGAGTTGGGATAAATGTCTGTTCCTTCATTAAAATAGCGTCACGTTAAGGAAATAAATGCACACTTATGTAATGAATCCCGAATAGACGAAGTTCTCCCGGGTAAATATACTATAGACAAATACCAAAGAGTTCATCAAAGACGGAAATGTTTTAACTATTATGAGTAACTGATTCAGTCTCATCATTTCCCTAATTTGCTCTTTGGTCTCCACCCAAAAAAGGGATTTCCTTTTCAGTACAATTGATTTTTGACAGAAAAAGACTAAAAATGCTTTTCACCCAATCATCTAAACCACTAAGCTCTTTCTTAATATGTGACCTCTGCCTTTGCCTGATAGGGCGTGGATTGAAGGGGGGGGAGGACGCGTATATGCTGGGTTTTGGATGACGAGATGAGAATAAAGTCGTGTCGATATTGAATGCCGACGGCATAGGTTTTGTCCTACGCCATGCACTGCGTGTAAAATGTAAACGATAAAAGTTATGCATTAATGTTGATCGGTTTGCAATAAAATGTGTCTAGAATAACAAAGGTGTTCATTAGATAGCCTTGGCATAGTGCCAATATTCTGGCATTACTGAGAATATAACACAACTTTTACTCTCATGGAAGAAAATTAAGTTTTGCAGTCCCTCGGCACTATACGTTGCCTCCAGGAGGTGAATTTTGGATTGGTGGTTAAGGTATCTTATCCTGTGTTTTCGCGCCAAATCTAAATTTTCTCAAAAACAATTCTCTTATTCAAAATTAATTGTTCGACACGTCCTTGCAGTTGCATTTTATGTTCTATACCATTTATATACCAGAATATATCTCTTTTATAATTTGATTTCCCTACTCACTGCAGTCACATCCATCTCTTTTAGATAAAATGAAATTATTATAATACAATCGTTAAACCATACCTGCCATCCTCTAAAAACAAAAATAAGTCTTTGACAAAACACATGACCAAGAAAAATTTTCGCACGTTTCCGAAAACTACGAAAGCCAGTAATGTAGGAAATCCAGGCGAACTGGTTTCGACGCCTTCTTCTCTAGTATCAACACGAAGTTAGAATCATTGTTCGACCCAAAGATAAGCAACAACAACAAGTCAGTTTGTCACCAACAATAACAGTGGGTTTATTTGACTGTCCCATAATTGTACTTTGGGGTTATTTCTTCATGCACTTTCCTGTTTTTGCCTTTCGAGGCTTCAGTAACTTTATCCCCTCATATTACGGTTAGTACAATAGAAGAAAAGAAGCGTCAGATGCCGTAAACTTTTTACTGGGCTCAAACTACTATTGGTTGACCCCTCACGACCAGAAGATAAATTGTTCAAGTAGCAACCAGCAAGTTATAAACATTAAAATATGCAGTCATAATTTTGACATTTTGGAAAATATGTGCGCCCCTGTGAGCGTCCCATATGTGTAGGCATCCAACCACAACCCATCTCCCCTAAATAGAGATTTTAGTCTCTCCCAACCTCCCTTTTCTGACTGTGGGTTAATACCAGTAAACAGCCCAAGGGTAAAATCTATTTTATTTTCTCGATTTACTTATGGGAGGTTTGTCCAATCATGTGCGAAGAAAACACAATCCAACTTTCAATCTCAGTCTAGGGTTCGACACAGTAGCAAGCGCACAACACATTCACACAGGACGACGATATACTACACTACGGAAATTGTGATTCACTTTGTATTGCCCAAAGCCAAGGAAGTTGGAGTTCTGCCCATCGAGCCGCTATTTAACTTCCTAGCAAGCACGTTGATTGCTCAATTCTATTGACAAGCGTAATTGACGGCACTGCCTCCTAATTTTCCCAAACAGAAAGAAAACAAGGGAACTAAAGGTAACCCGTCATGTGAGGATAACGGGATTATACATACAGAAAGGACCAGGTTGGGAAGAAAAACCAGTGGAAGCAATAAGTCGAAGTGAGGGAAATATCCCCCTTTTTACTAAACTCCATTTAACAAAAACCAAAGGGAACATTATGAACGTTACTATCTTTAACTGGAACTGTTTAAGCAGTACCTGACAAAATGAAGATTTTTCAATTGGTTATAACAAGCGCCAGTTTTCTCTGTTTGCTACAGTTTGCCGCAAGTCTGAGGAATAAAAACGGGCATTGGTGGTAAGTTGCGTTGATTCCAACTATTATAACGGACAAAAAACGTAATTTGACAGTTACATACTCAGGCATTCGTAGAAATGTGTTACTAGTGTATTTTTTCGCTTTTTTATAAGGATTGATAATTATATGAAAAAAAGGGATTAAGGGGTATGAAAAGTAAAAACTTGACTTTTAAAATAGGAGGGAAGAGATATAACCGACGCAAATTTGACGCTATACGCCCATCGTTAACTAGACGCTTAGTTAACGAGGGTGGAGGAAAAAAACTGAAGAGTTCATGGCAATAAATGGCAACAGAGCTGATTAAATGGCCACAAAAGTTGCCGCTTGCTTGTTAAATCTATTCTCTGTATTAATGAAAGGTGTTGCCTTTATCATTGGCAATTAAAACCACATATTAGTTCTGTCCCTCAGAGCCTTCAGGCCATCCTCTGCATGTTGAACTCTTTCACACCTGGTGGTGACACTCCATAAAGAAAAGAGGGCAAAGATGCAAGTTCTTTTTTGAATAAAAAAAGAATAGAAAAAAATCATCAGCATACCTGTGCTATTTCAAAAAGAAATTTTCTCAAAATTAGAATATTTTTGACTTTTTACTGACTCCAATAAATGAGAAATCTAAAGAAATGTCAAAAAAGAAAAGAGAAGAAATATAGATAATGACAAATCTAAAGAAATGTCAAAAAAGAAAAGAGAAGAAATATAGATAGATGAATGTGGAGAAAAAATATAAAGAGGGAAAAAAAGGTGCTCTTACACTTCTTTTAGATTTTTTTAATCCTCCAGTAGTAGTGTTATGTACACTAGAACTGAAACATGGAGCAACTCACTTTATTGGAGTTGGGGTGGGGGTGGATGGGTTGGGGTGGAGTAGGTGTGTCCAAGCTGTTGTATGCTGTGGCAGTATTTCCTTATGGCCTTATGTCCAAGTCGCACATAATTGTGCAATGGCAGGTAAAAAGAGTATTGTACAGCCGATTTGTCATAGTTACAATGTTGCAGTGACAGTTTACTAGAGAAATGACACATCAGGAGAAACCACACATGGTGTTAGTGACAGCTTTATTCTCAATACTGTCCATGCCATTATATATACATAGTGGTTTACATACAATCCCATTGGTTTTTTATCTACACCAAGGGGCATAGACTACAAGAGACATTGGGAACTAAAAATTATACTGAAAGATAATGACCCCTTTGATGACATTTTACTTTTTCAAGTTTCCATTTCTTCAAGAACTCATAAAAAGTAGAAATAAACTCACATGTGGTGTTATACTGAATTGCATATCTGGCAAAATAAAAAGCCATTATGATATTTGAAACTTTGATGCCTGAAGCACATATTACACTTGCAGCACTATGCACACATACTTATAGTTGTAACAGTTTGTTAAGTTGAAGCTGGCAAACTCAATACATACAGTTTGAGAATTACTTAAATGTCAATTCATGGTGTTGAGTTATCTAAATTACGTAAAAAAAGTAGTCATAATTGAGATCGTATCATGCAAGTCATTCTCACACAATTTTGAAAGAAAAAATTCCAATGTAATAGAGCTGTTCTCTGTAAGGTATAAAAGTAACCAAACATTCTCAATCCCAATCCTTTCTTTCTTAAGCAGCATTATGTGTGAGAGGGTTATCCTCTCTTCAGACCTCTTCAGCTCAAGCAGAAGTACCCATTGGGAGGTTGTCTAAGGGCTTCAAGCAGGAGCAGTGAAAACGAGAGAAATTGAGTCAATAACCACAGATATGTGTCCCTACATAAATAATACCTGCTGAAGCATCTAATCTGCCAGCATGAAGTTATAGATGTGAATATATGTTCTAAAGAAGAAAAAGGACTGGTATTACATAATCTCAGTGTTTCGTTCCATCTTCCAATCCTATTAGAACAGCTTACCCCTTAGGTTAAGTGCATGGGTTAGTAGGTAAAAACCTCCAAGATATTTGTAAGCCGTGTTCAGATATGTTCTTACAAAAATGTTGTACTACAACTTCAAGAGGTGTGTGCACCCTTTTTTCTTCTTTCCACACACAACCAGTCTGTCTACAATCTTCGAGTTCAATGGTTTGCAGAAAGATTGTTGGGGGGAGGGGGGGAATTACAGAGAAATCAAGCATGGAAATTGCAGTCAAGTCTGTAGTTCCTTAAGCTAGTGCTGAGACCAATTTGATCAAAACCAGTCTGAACACAGCTGTGGTGAACCACCTGTCCAATGAACCATTCAATACTATCACTTGACATTGTTATTAACTCCCCTTGTGTCCTTCTTAATGTATTCCCTCCATTTACAGTAGGCATACATACTGGGTGTGAAAAGGATTCTTGATGATATTTGTAATCCACAGATCCTTTAAGATAATATTGGACAGGTGTTGACCATAAAAATATCCGACAATGGCACACAAGAAAGAATTAACAATGGCTGATTTTTTCTTGAAAAAGCCTAGTTTAGCAATTTTTGTTGGTTTTATTAGGGTATGACTTTTTTGTTAAACTAAACATATTGTTGGCATATGTGACAATCATAGTGTACTGATACTGTTAATTATAAAATTTTTTAGAATAATAAAATTTATGATTTTTAGTATTCACTGCAAAAGGTCTTCCAACGTTTCCTCTGTAAAGATCTTAAATTTCTTTATACAGTGCAATCAAATGAATCCAACCTCTCTGTGTTGAACTGAAAATCAATTAAACCAATCTTGACACAAATATAATCGTCTGAAAAACCACTTGACTTTCTGTTCAATATTCCATTTCCGTTGCTGGTAAATTATGCAATGTTTTACTGCTAATCTGTTTGTCCTTTTGCGAGTTTTGATCAAATCAACAAAATCAATGTTCAATACTGTGCAGAGAAACTTGAAAGCTTTTGGATGTTTCTTTGTTTGTTGGTGGGCCAAGTTGAAAAGCTTGATTGCTCTCAAATTCCACAACTACATTACCAGTTATGCTGATCAAACATTTAATTAAGCGTAACAATACCAGCTAGACCAATAGTGTTCAAAATTTGACTCCTGTGGCATGGCAGTCAATCAATTCTTCATTTTCCCCAGCCTTCACTGATAACATTTAAAGTTAACTTTCATTCCAAACTAAAACATTGAAATGGTTGGTTTTTATTATTAACGCCTTCACAAATAATTTTTGGGATGAGGGCAAAGCTCTTTCTTTTGTTCCTAGCAACATGAACAATAAAATGAACCCTTATCACAACTGATTAAAAACGTGAACACTGAATGAAATGCAGATATTTGTCTAACTAAGAAGAAACACGGAATAAAAGGTGAGAAATCACACACGATTACAAAAGTACAATAGCATGGCCCATTGCTCTGCCATTCTTGAAAAATGCCTCATATCATTATAATATAAACAGTGTTAAATTTCTTTAAAGGATGAAAAATAACAACTCCCGTGGCTCCAGCCAAATAAATTTCCCTTTTCATCTTTTGCTGTCCGTTAACCTATTTTTATAATCTGTTATTGTGTGAAAGTTGGTATAAGACATATAGGAAAGAGTTGGAGTGAAAGGCATCTAACTATCTCAGTGTTATTCTGTTATCATTGTATCCATTTTGTTTTCTTCTTTTGTGGTTGACATTTATAAGTTTTGCTTGTCTGCACAAAGGTATGCATTAATTCAACAACCGTCCGCATAGAAGTTTCTTATTCTTTGCCACAAGGTGAACCACTTGGGCATTCCTACACTTTACTATCACTACCCTAGGGAGAGCCATTGCACAATGTTGTTTTTCTTCACAACTTCAGACTTTGGGGGTGGCAAGTTGTGGAAGCTTACTAGTGTATTTACCTAGCCGAGGAAAGAAGATACCTTACATTACTTCAGTTATTTTTCTGTTCAACATTTATATAAAGAGAGTCAAGTCTGTTACCCACAGTGACTATAGCAAAATGGAGTTGCACAGGCATGATGTGACTTAATTAAGGGAAAGGGCACCATATATATGGTCAAAATAGTAATGAATTGCTTTATTCACTACATGTTTGTTCTTATATTTTTTTCTCACACAGAATCAAAAAAGGAAAACTTTCCAGTATAATAATATATTTTCAGGTTGATGTGATGTACTATGTTAAACAAAATCAAACACACCTTGGTCATATCTCTCAATAAAAAAAGAAACTGAGTTTGTGGAAAATGACTTTTCAAATGCCAATCATCACTATGTAAAGGTCTGTTATATCCAATAAATAAACATTTGAGACACTTTATTAATTCAATTAATTACAGGGTCTTCTAGGTTAAGCAAGATATATCCTTATTTCGGACAAGGTATCACATATTTCAATTGCCAACTATTTGGAAGGTGTTTGAGACATCACTTTATGATGTCTTTAAACTTTGTCTTATAGCATGGGATGTTTTTCCTGGTTTTAAACCAAACAGCCATGAAAAATGGATAGTCCCCAAAAAATTAAAAGTGACATTTTCTTCAGACAAAGTAATTTTAAATAAGCAGTTGAGGAAAATTTCATTTTGTTATCTGGAGCCTCAGAAATGTTGTCTTAGAACTTATTTGCAAAAATGACACTTGGGCCACAAAAGTTAATTGAAATGTCAACTTCTAAAAAAGTTCAATTCTTTGCTATTCTAACTTCAATTTTGGAAGGGTTGCATCATGCCAGGATAATGACATCCCCCCATATGAATAAGCAATGAATAGAGTGTCTACAAAGTTGTTGTTTTGACCAAAATCTTTGTCACTCAGGGTTTTCATTTTCTGCCAAATACTAGTTACATTTACATTTTGCTTTTGACTGCGGCAGCACTTTCCTGACCTATAATGTAGCACAAATAGCCTGACAAAGTTTGAGATAAGTGCTCAATGTGTTCACCTTTCCTCCGCCTGAGGCGGTAGCCATTATGGGTCCCAAATGCAAACAGTCCCCCTACTCTTTCCAAACACACCTCCCATCACCTCTGTTTTCACTTGCCAAACCTTTAGAGATTATGTGACCTAAGGATCAATCAACTTTCATTGATTCTTAAATCAAAGTGTTCGGTAATGCTTCCATCTTACATTACTCTGGCGTTATCCTGCATCATACATTGGCCAGTGGGATATCATAAAGAGCCAAGGGGAGAAAAAATGTGAATCAAATTTCAAATATTGTTTGTGGAAGTGCCCAGTCTAGACAGTTCATGATGAAGAGAATAGAGAAAAGTAACAGAACACAATCTTCTGATTGCATTGTGGCATTCAGCAAATATAGGCCAGGGGTGCAGTTCATGCCACACATTTTGATGACTGTCACTTCATTCTTCTGTACTATTAACTCTGTACCTGTTTAATACTGCGGTTTATCCTCGAGGGTTTCATGATATATCTCACTCTATTTTAGATTTTAATGTGGCTGATAAACTGACGACATAACTTGTTTAATCAGAAATTGTCCCAGCACAATTGGGTTCTGTTCTGAATAAAGTTTTAGTGCCATTGAACACAAACAGGAAGAACTCCTTCACCAAGATACACTGAAACTTCAATTAACAATTTGTTACTTGATTGTTACATGGCTACTTTACATCATGTACACTGTTAATGGCTTTTTTTTTTGCCAGGCCACATCTTTGGCACCAAAACTTTTCTTGTTAACACATTAATTAAGGGCCATTACATAGTATTTTGATTGTTACTGAGGGGGAAAAGGTTGATTCCTTTTACCTATTTAGTAGCGCAATAATTCAATTTTGAAATGTTTATTGGTAACACTTGGTTTTTGCCTATACTATATCTTAACAAAAAAGGATAAAAATCTATAAGCATGGTTTAGATGAAAAGCATTATGGAGAGTAACAGAAAAAATTAATTTTTCATGTCTTTTAAGATTAGGTGGCAAATTATTGGCAGAAAATACCCCATAAAATACATTGCGATCACACTTCTGATACTTTTCCTTTTAAGTCTATTGTTAGCTTCATCTTATTCTATTCAATTATTTAAAGCATTGTACACAAATGCATTTTCCAGATCTTAATTTTGAGGCTTTGACAGTAGTGCATTATTTATCTATCACCATTATAAACCTCTGTAGGGGAACTTTAATATTGATGTTTTGTTTTCATTAAATGGATTTTTAAGTGTTTTTCACAACAATACCTGTGATTCTTGAAACAGTTACACGTATCAGTACCAAAACTTGCTTTATTTTGATACAAAACATATCCCCTCTACCACTGTCCTGTAAAGTTATATTAGTAAAAAATTTGAGGGTTTTGGTAACTTTGTAGTTTTCCCTGTCAACTTCATATATATTTCTATGGTACACTAGAGTGGCCTTGTAAATACACCGAATACATAAGAGACTGAAAACTGTTGGGCCCTCATGCTAAATTAGCCAAATCTTAAAAACCCTTGTGGGGCATTACAAAGGGGAATTAAGGCATGGAGGGGCAAGCTTTGTCCTTGATACAAATATATATGGATTGTAGTACAACTTCATATATTGAAAAATATATTCTTTCCAGCATTACATACTATAATGGAATTTTATTAAAAATAAAAAAAGTTTTTAAAATTGTTGTATAGGGTATAGCAGGTGTGAAAAATTAAAATGATGTAAGAATTTACTTCAATTTGCAACAAGCATTTTTTAGCGAAGATAATGTTGGGATGACTATGAATGACTTAAGATCATGAATAAAACTTCAAAAGTATCAGTAAATGTGTTTCCTATCTCCTTTAAACCTTTTCCATTACTTCATAATCTTTATCAAAATACTATGCAATGGTTCATAACTTAAAATCAGAGTCACTGTTTAGTTTGCAATTTGCTTTTGTTATTTACAGGCCTTAGGTTGAGGGCAAGTTTTGAAAGAGGTACTATGCTTTTATTTTGTCAAAAAATATCCCAATTTTGGCATGTGTTTTAAAAGTACAAATTTTACTTTACTGAAAACTTGATGGAGTGATCTATAGGTCTAGGATACAGGTCAAGTGTGAAAATCTTATTTGCTTCAAATTGAGGTTAGGCTAATAGACCTATGATGTGCTCATTTTACACTAGCTATAGGCCATCAGCTGCCTGCCTAGGCTGTGTTAGCAGCAGGAACACCGATGTAGGGCAAAGATCACACTTCCCAAAACTTGGTTCAATGAACTACATACTGTATAATGTGAACCATATCTGTTAGTCTTCCCCAACGTGTTTGTCTTACCATATGGTTGGAAATGTGTTAATCTTTAACCGTTAAGTGCCATAAGAATATTGGATCGGCACGTTACATATGACTGACGTTTATTGACAGAATTGTGAGAAAGAAGCAGATGTGCCTGTTGTTTTTATATTTACTGGTTAAATCATCAGTAAATTTTGACAATAGTGTGATGAAATCAATTTCCATCATGATCTTTGAAAGTGGTTTTATTATATAATTGATATTCCAGCAAAAATATAACTTTACATGCAATATCTTTATTCATATTTAGAGAAAATGTGCAGTTTTATGTTCGGAAATGTTTGATAAAATGTCCTGTTTGAATTTATTATTAGCAATCCAAAGCTCAATTTAGGCAAAAAAAAAAAAAAACATGCACTTTTCATCACATTATTGTGTGATAGAGCAACTCATACTTTGATAAGACAGTACAGCATGTTATAAGTCCTACTTAGGCGTAACTGATTTAAGAATATCGGCTACTAGCCAAGAGACACTAACCTCGGACTTTGGTCACCACATTCTCCTACTATGACATTTTTTATGGTGTGGGACATTTTCCAAACAGAAAAAATATGACTTGCTTTGTTTTTGACAGAGGTCCAGCAGCCAACACCCTCCTACAATACAGGGTACAGGTCTTTGACAATTCCCAGTACTTCAAAAACCAACTTGGTCACCTTCTTCTCTCGCTGTGACATTTTTGTTTAGTTCGGGACAGCTTCCAAACAGAAAAAAAATGACGTAGTGTTTTTGATAGAGATCCAGGAGCCGTCGCCCTCCCACAACAGCATAGTACAACAGCGTGTGATATTTCAGAGGTCTTCAACAATTTGGGTGCATGGCAATAGTCCTAAGGTTCATTGGTCTGAATGTTCACTATATAGAACCTTCAGAGCAACAAACCCCTTTACTAAAAAAAACGATAAAATTAAATGATTTTTCAGACCATTGAATCTTCAGACTATCGAGAAGCCCCCAAATATTCCCCATTACTTGTAACCATCAAATCTACTGATTTTTTTTCCTTTTTTGTAAATTCAATTTAACAAAGATATATGTGAATATATGGTGTCATGATAATGTTTTCTTAAATTGACTTAAGCATTTCCATTAATCTTTTGTCCAAACCATTGAAAAATGCAATTTTATTGTGCTAGCAGTAAATAATTATTTGCTAAAATGTATTTGTCTGCTCAATAGGACTTAAGTGCTCCTCAGGGAGGTAAGATCAATTAAAGGATTAAACAGATCCATATTGACCAGACAAATTTTTTTAAGTCGGCTGATCTTGTTTATAGAGGATATCACACTTTAAACCTAAACTTTACCTTTTATTTACTTTTCTTTGAAAATAATCATATAATTTTTTTCTCCTTCCACAGGTACCTTGGTCTCTCACCTACATACCTAAATGGCAGGGACAGGAGAGACGATGGAGACGCAGCACATAGATGTAATATACGTTACTTTACGCCAGAACAGAAAAAACTTTGTATTAAAGATGATGACATTTTACAAGTAATTGCCCGCGGAGCTCGCAAGGGGATCCAGGAGTGCCAATACCAGTTCCGTACAAGGCGGTGGAACTGCCCAACTAAGAACAGCACAGATGTGTTTGGGAAGGTTTTGCAAATAAGTAAGTGGCTTTTCTTGTAAAGATTTTCAGTTGAAGGCAGCTTTTATAACAATAGCAATAAGAAGACACGATGAGCTGCATGATGTAAAGATTTATTATGCTCTGTGCTCAGAACATCTGCAGCTTGGATTAATTGAGTTAATTTTTGTTGAATGTAAGCTGAGATTTCAATAACAGATGGTACATGAAGATATATGCATGTGGTGGTATATGTGGTGATAATTGTACTCAAACTGCAGTGCTCTAGGTTTATTGGTTTCAAAACTAATTCAATGAATAAATAGAATTAAATGAAATAAAAATATTATCTTGTTAAAACAAGATAAGTGCCAGTATTTAAAATTGTAAAATGGCACTGTGGCCTCCAAGCTTTGGTGGATGGGGGGTTTTATTAGATGCCAATAAAGCAATAATGATAAAGTCAGAAAATAAATCCATTTAAAAAGACAAATATGCAGTTAGCATTGATACAGGTTTTATATGTTTTTAGTTTTATTGGCAATTAAGTATTTAATCATACTTTCTGTAATCAGGTATTGTTCTGCATAAAGCATTTAGATTGAGGAGTTTTTTTAAATAAAATAATAGTTTACATTGAATGATTGAATATTGTGTCTAAAAAAAAAAATTTAAAGATACTGGTGCTGTTATCTTGATATTCTGTGTTAATAAAGCAAGCAGTTTGTGGCTCACAGTGAATAGCATGTGTTGCACAGTAAAGACTATTCATGTTTTTTCCCATCTCAGATGACGTGTTTTATTTAGTTTACCTGTGATAATATTATCCTTTGACCTCTTTTAACACAATTATCCTTTTAATGACCATATATTATTGAATTTGAAATATTAATTCCATTTACAAAGTAAAGAAAATGGTGTTATGCCCCCCCCCCCAAAAAAGTCACAAGCTTGTCCATGATATCATTCTAGAAATATTCATAAAATGATGATAAAGATGAAAATATTCTAAACATTTGGACATAAATATAAGCTTAAAAGTATAAACAACCTGGCAGTCAAAATCAATATATTTTTGCCACCAGCATCCTGTGTGCAAATTGAGATACAGATTTTTATTTTGTTTGGGTCAAATTTGTTAATGTTTATTTTTCTCCTTTCCCATAGATACATTTGGCATTGTAAACTTTCTCATATTGCACCCTGCAGACTTGCACAAGTTAGGTAAATGCTGCAATATGCCTGAAGGCAAAAATAGTATTCCTTACATGAACAAACAAAAACATTATGGCTTAATAAATCCCTTTCTCTGGTTTTACTTACTTTGCCTAAATTGACCAGTTGAAAAAATATGACGGCAGTTGATGTAATGTCACTCAACTGGTACATAAACATTTAGAGCACCTGTTTCACTTGAATTTCTGGAGAATCAGTCATTTTCAATATGGTAACTGCATGGTTTAAGACTTCCTGGAAACTTGAACAATTTTCTCATAAAAAATTAGGTAAGCTATATGAAACTGATATTCACAGCAGATAGATGACATTTTATTTATGATTCAGGTCCTCCATATCTTTTTAGGTGCATGTAATTTAAGGTGTATGCATGTTTGATTTTTTTTTCCAAAGTGGCTGGCCAAGGATTTTCAAATAAAGGGATGAATAAATAAATTAAAATAATTATTATTTTAAGAAGAATAAGAATCCCAAGTAATATACTTCTTTAAGTGGAATTTTTTATTTTTTAGAAACCAGAGAGACTGCCTTTATCTATGCCATCCAAGCAGCCAGTGTCATGCATGAAGTGGCCAGAGCATGTGCCAAGGGAGAGCTGAAAACGTGTGGCTGCGACAGCAACATTCGTAACCAAAAAACCGATGGAGAGTTTGAGTGGGGTGGCTGCTCCCATGATATAAATCATGCTAATCTGTTTGTGTCTCAATTTGTGGATTCTACTGAAATCAAGGTGAAGGCACCAGGGCAGATGAATCTTTGGAACAATGAGGCTGGAAGACTGGTAAGTATGTGTTAGCTACGCCTAAATTTGATTTAAAAAAAATAATAATAATGAAACAGTTAGCTAATCAAATTTAAAATAAAGGATATTATTTATATATGTATATTTTCAATGGTGCAAAGCTACCATGAATGTATATTGTGCACTAGAAAGGTGATTTATTTTAAGGGAGGTTGAAACCAGGTGATGGAAAATTCCCTGTGAAATTGATGAAAACTTATCTGTCACAGTCTGTAACAAAGTTTGTAGGAAAATATTGGCTTGAAAACCTCATTGGCATTAAACAGTGATGGTATGAGCAATTTCAGGACCTGACATTGTGTTAAGATGTAGGAGATCAGTTGTGAATAAGACAAAACACAATTGGTTGTGACAAGCAGGATAACCTACCGCAATTGTCCACTCACATATCATTTATGTATAACAGTGGATGAATATTATATATTTCAGGCAGTCTCCTTTTTTGCCTGAAATTAAATATATTTACTTCATTAAAATTTTTCTTGATCATATTATCTTTGTTTCTATCCAGGCCATTTCCGGTGAAATGAAACTTCTCTGCAAGTGCCATGGAGTCTCTGGATCCTGCTCCATTAAGGTGTGTTGGAGAACGACAGATAATTTCCGCAAAGTTGGCAAGAACTTAAAGGAAAAATTCGATGGAGCGAGCCATGTAAAATATAGCAAAAAGAAGCAAAAGTTCAAACCAAGGAACAAGTTTCAAAAGTTACCCGGCAAAACAGACCTGGTGTACATCAAGGAGTCGCCAGATTATTGTACCCCAAATCATAAAACGGACTCCCTGGGGACCAAGGGACGCTTGTGTAATAGTACAAGTCAGGGTCTGGATGGCTGTCAGTTAATGTGTTGTGGGAGGGGGTACTACACAACAGTAAAGCAAGTAGAAGAAGACTGTGACTGTAAATTCATATGGTGTTGTGAAGTGAAGTGTCAGAGATGTAAATATAAAATTCAGCAAAATTTCTGCAACTGATCAAGTGTTAAGTTTTCCTGACAGTATAATGATTTATCACTGCCAATAAGTATCCATCTATGCATAAAGGGTCCCTTTCAACCTAAATGCCCAGGCAGGTAACTTGAGATTAAAGGAGAAAAGGCAAGCTGGACTTTCATCTTAACTCCCTCTTAACTAAGGATGATGATCTTGTCTGTGTAAATGTACATATATTTATATATACTTTAGTTTTATATAGTATCTTAGAAAAAGGTTGAACTTGACCAGCATTTGTATAAAATGATGCCATAATTGTAGCTATTATGTGTAGATATATTTTGGAACACATTCCATATACCACAAACTATATCAAAAAGATGATGCATTTTGATTTTATGAAAGCAATGAGCAGACACAGATTGCTGGGTCTGTCATCAACATATGTTGCCTGTAAATCTGACTGGGCATGTAATTGGCATGCAAAAGTTTGCTGGATGATTTGTGTTTGATTGTAATGCAATAAGTGACTTCAGGGAATAATCCAACTTTAACTTCCCCTTTTCAGTTAAAAGTGTCTTACAGAGACTCTCAAAATGCCACCATATTAGAAAATGTGTAACAGGTTTGATGCCAAGTCACTTTAATTTTATATTGCATTGTCATTATTTTTATTAAATTAATTGTAAATTGATTGCAGTCCCTTGAACCTTTAGCAATATTATATATTTCATTAATGATGTTTGTATGACTGTCAGCTTTGCTAGAAGTAGAGTGATGTCAAAGATAAATACTGTTGAACCTTGAATATTGCTGGGGTTGGAAGCATATGAGAAACATTCTGGACAAATCTTTGCAAGTGCCCCCCCCCCCCCCCCCCCCCCCCCCCCAAAAAAAAAAAAAAAAAAAAAAAATCAACCAGTCAACCAGTGATGTAATCAGTGGTGACATCAGTGTTGAANCCCCCCCCCCCCCCCCCCCAAAAAAAAAAAAAAAAAAAAAAATCAACCAGTCAACCAGTGATGTAATCAGTGGTGACATCAGTGTTGAAATTGTAGATATTAAAGAAATATTTCATGCTGATGCTGTCTCAACCCTTACTAGTCAACATTAATTATCCAATCAAAATAGTATTTTTAATTATGATAGATACCATCCACCTCATCTAAAATTATTATTTTCTTTTGTCGATATGGTATGATTATCAATATAAGCACTGTCTTATCATGTGTATAACTCCTCTGGTTTCAGTCGTTTTAGACATAATATGTATCTTATATTGGATTAATGGGATATTTGTTTGATTTTGTTTTCTTTAATTAATACATAATGTTTTAAAAATAGCCGGTTCTTTTGTCTCATAGATATGCTGCCCCCTTTTTATTGTTTAAGCCAAAGGGGCTGATTCTTTTTTTCTGATTCAAAAGGAGGATGGTTTTGTGATTATCAGCATTAAAAAATGTATGTGTAAGTATGCAATATTGAAAATATTTAAACTTGATGTACAAAACTTGAAATTTGAGATGAAGCACCGAGTATTATAAAGGCAACAGGTCACAGTTATTGTACCACACAAATAAAAAAATCGGTTACAGAATTCTAACAATTTCTCACTTTTTCTTTTGGCAACTGTTTGTCTAGGCTAAATTATATATCTCTTTTTATTTTTATCATACCCAAAATCCCAGGTCAGTGGTCACCATGATTATTTTTAATGTGTAAATAAGCAAGTCTAAGAATTAATAAAAAAATAATAATGATAAAAGAATAAGTACTAAGAATTCTATACTGGTGCTCGTAATCTAAATGGATGAAAACTTCTTGAAAAGCAACACTCATTCTCAAAAATTAGAGTACTACATGATAAATACTCCGGTAGAGTGCATGGGTGCATTGCTGAAATTTGTAGAAAAAAAATTTTTTGCACACACACACACACACACATTGTTCATAGCCTCAATACCTGCTAGCCCAGACCTAAATATAAAATCTTGTTCTCAATAACAAAGAAATAATACATTCTATTCCTCAAGGGTTTTGTGTGAAATAGATATAACTTGGTGTTCAAGGTAAAATGTTGGTATTTCAAGATTTCATTTCTTTTGTCAAGAAAAGCGACTATCAAAGATAGCCAGAGTTAAACATCCAAAAATTAGAACATATATTATTCGCCTTTCTACGCTGAAGTTATAGTTTAGTGTCTGGTCTCCAGTTTTGTTATTCAAAAACGAACCTGGCAACCAAAAACTAGTGCCGTTTTTCAAAAACGAATCAGGCAACCAGAAACTAGCGACGTTTTTCAAAAATGCACCTGGCAACTAGAAACTAGTTTTGTATTTCAAAAATGATTCTGGCAACCAGGATGGCCCCGAGTCCCACTTTGGTTTATGAAAAGTATAACACACCAATAGGGTCTATTCTCCTCTTGAAATTAGAATTTTGACTAGCTAAATCATTGTTCTAAACCGTACCAAAGGGCACTGTTTGCTCTCCAAAACAACAAAAATTTTTTCGGGACCCTAACCCCACACCAGGGGGGGTCGGTTTCGCATCCGAAGCCTGTCGTCCCCCCCCCCCCTTCAAATAATCCTGGATCCGCCCCTGGACCTATTGTGCTTTTTCAAAAGCCAAACGATAATTCAAACCGAAGCGTCCGCGCGGAAAATAGGTGACCTGTTCATCATTATGTAAATCAGGTGAGCGTTTTGGTGAGAGGTGCTCAGATATGACCAAGGTCAGTAGAAGATGGAGAAGAAGGATGTCCCATGCCATACTGCTACTGCCACACGTAGACCGAAAAGATGGCACTGAACCCGGCAGCAGTATCTCGTAAGTTCCGTACAGATGATAGAAAATGTATTGCAGCATTTCTTATTTTTGCATGGACGATGTTTTCCCGAAAAGGTGTATTACAGGCTTAATGACCGCGGGGACATCTACCTGACGCGAAAAATACTTTCTCTTAGCTTTCCCTCAGTGTCTTTTGGTCACCCTTTTGTTTCTGATACCATTAGTTTTCCACGAGGGCTCAATATGAATAGATATATTTGTATAATTTTAAACTTTATATTGCGATTTGTTAATTGTTGGATGTTAGTTACCGGGATACAAAGGAAACTGACACGAATTGCTATAATGAACATGTACTGCTTTATCAGATCTTTAGACATTGTTTCATGAATGTGAAAATTGTATTCCTTTAATTCCAGTGACACTAAGTACCGTTTATGAAGATACCAGAAGCGCCCTACCCAGAGACACGTTTGGTGTTCGACACATAGGCCTACTGGTACAGCCCCACACCCATGTCAAGATTGCCTCCTATGCCGACGTTTGTCTATTCGTTAATTTGCAGGGACGACATTAAGTATGGAATGTTATGTTTGCTTTTGGTTGTAACATTCTGCTCCAAAACGTACATCGAAGTATAAGTCGAGTAAAATGAGCTTTTTATTCATGAAACTTCTCATAGCAATTTTAATTTAAAAAAAAATCCATACTAAGCGTCCGCCCTGCATGATGCTGGTTTGCTTTTTTTGATAATTGCTTTTTACTATGTCGTAGTGCAGTGCTCTATCTGATTATGGTGTTATGAGGGTAATTTATTAATACTTATGGGTCGGGGTTGATAGCCTACCCGTCCTTTTTTAAACCTGAAACCTTAGATTTGAATTTTTCATTTGAGAGAAATAATGTCTGTATAAAAATGATAAAGTGATAATTTTAAAATTATCATATATTAATTTATAAGAAAAGAAACGTTTTCTATTTGTCACTGAAAATATGTGTGGGCAAATCTGCAACTTGACTCCTCGCTGCGACACTCTTATTCTTTTAAAATGTTGTTGACGTCTGGGAAGGAAAACATTACAACCGCATTACGTGAAATGCATATAGGAAACTTCTGATTACATTTATCGTGTGTTCAGTGAAAAAAGAGGAAGGGATGTAAATCTACAAAAGACACTGTTAATAAAACGTTATAAGCCTTAGAAATCCCAACATTATTTAATGGGCAAAATGTTCCAACGTTACTCCAGAATTGTCCACGTGTACTATAACGATATTTTAACAATTATGCATATGGCACTGTGGCTATGAATAAACTTTCCCTGGTTCTCGGTGTTTTCAGTGCTGGGCGGGGATTAAACGCCTGTTTTCTGAAACCAAGTTAGGTGGGGTAAAAATTGTCATCCGAATTGAAAAATTTATTTAATATTGCAGTAGTAGAATGGAGATCTTTTTTGCGTATATGATAAGAATACTGTTCCTATAGTTGGCTACAAAAATTTCCCAGGATTGAGATAATTAATATGCCGTTTAGGACTTATATTACGAAACAGAAGTGTCGAAAAACAAAAACGGGAAATGGACTTCATTTAGATATCGTTTGTCCATTAAAATGTTTCTGTAGGACTGACATTAATCATAGCCTTTTGCATTCCTTATTTTCAAAATCACTTGAGCTGGTGCAAAGCCCAATTTTCAGATGGTAATGAGTATTCTGAAAGGATTCGATGAATTTACAGACCGTGAAGTTTGCTAAAAAAGATAGTGAATAGTTAATAATTCTTAAATAAAATCTATAGATTTTTAAAAGATTAGATTATAGGATTTATTATTTCATCTGTTACACTAAAGTCCATTCTACCAGTTTGGTCAGTTATTTGTTTAAGAATTGTACGGAATTATCATCTTAAATGTTATTTCAAAGTATTTTCTTCATCTAAATGGCAAATTCGATTTTCTACCAAAGTGAATCTTCACACTTTGTTTGGTTTTAATTTTTAAAGTGGAAAACATGCCTAAAATGAGGAGCGTTCTAATTAAAGTTGTTCTGTATTCGTATACATTTTAATTTTTCGGGAATAAGGGGTGATTAAGAAGGAAGCTAAAACAGATGCACGAAGGTGGTGTTTTTTTACTTTTACGTTTTTTCCCTGGCCATTCGTTTCAAAGTGTTAGAGACAAGTATTACATTTATTGACATTTGTTCAGAAATATACATGCTCCTTTCATTTTAATTTTATATCTTTTTATTGAAATTTCTTTATAAATTTGATGCTCAGCCAATGCTAATTCTTTCAATATCAACTTTTTCATTAGAAGTTTCTTTAGTCTAAATTAATACATGTATTACCTTAGAATAATTGATTGCGTTATTAACGTATTACATTCATATTTCAGAACTGCAATCTAATTGGCTGACTGTAGAAGGCACGTGACTGATGGAACCACGCCCAGCCTTCTGCCCGTATTAAGGAACTGGACACACTCATGCAAACGAGCGCACACGTACATACAGTTATAACGATTGAACAGGTTTATGAACTGGTGAACTGGCGCGTGATCTTGTTGTGATTTTAAAAACGTTTTAGGATTACATATTGATTTTCTTAAGTTGAAATGATTTACTGATGTAATTCATAAGCCATATACCTTAGGTATGAATCATAATTCTTTTTAATTGTTCCAAACAACTAGCTCAGATGAATCTGATTCCATTAAAACCCTTTCGGCTACCTCAAACTGTCTACACGATTAATTAAACTTTGGGGATAAAGGTGTTTTTTCATCGTATAGTTGGTGTGATCTCTGGTAAGTTCATTCTTTAAAGTCGATTAGCTATCACATATTTTTTCTTAATTGACATTGTAGAATTGCATTATTAATTTTAGGAGTTTATTACGATGTAATCGTAAACCAACGCGTTACGAAGTATTTCACCCGAATAAAAGTACATTTCTTTTTGGAGTTTTCAATTTCTAAACAACCCAGAGATGGTTATAAAAGTGGTGTTTATATACACACGCGTTTTAAAATATTTGTTATCTAGTTCAAATTGTATTCTTTGAACTGTTTCAAAACACCTAAAAGATGGCTTGAAAACTTTGCAAATTGTCAAATGATAACTTTGTCCATGTATTGAGATCACTGTTCATGTGATGCAGTGCCTTACGTCGCACATTAAGTTTTCACGTGAATTTTTCAACTACCGATTGTTATTTTATAAATAGATATAGTATTTAATTTCAGTTTCGCCGTGGTCTATCTTATAGTGCTGAAACATAACAGCTAATTTAAACGAGAAATTAAGATATGCTGTAGATTTCTTCTAATTTATCATATAGCGCACTTTGATAAAACCAATTCTTCTTACAACAAATAACTCCATTTTATATTATTAGCCTTCATCCTTGTATGCATATTCTATGGAAATTCTAACATTACTTGTGAAACGTTTGAATCTGAAACCAAAATCGGTAAGAAAGACTAACATTTTGAAACAATGCACCTTGTATGTGCAAAAAATCCATTTTTCTGTTTTGCAAGAGTGTGTGTATCTTTCTATCAAAATAGTTGCCTTTCTACTGAATAAAAAATATGCATTAAATTGTTTTTACATGCAATCTATTAAAACTTGGGTTCAGTTTAATTATCATGCGTACTGCACGTTCAAAGTTTTTTTCCTATTGATACTTTCAAAATGTAGTCTATTTGATTCTGCAATCCTTTAATTCAAATCTGAATAAACTGTGTTCTAGTAAAGCATGCGGTGTTTTTTGTTTTTTGTCCAACCCGTATCGAGGCGTGACAAATGGGGCGAGTCGGTTTTATTTTAAGGGGTGAAAGAGGGGCAGATTCATTTTGCTTTAGGGGTGACAGG